CGTTCAAGCTCTCTCTCTTCTGTAAGGACCAACTCAAGTACTTCTTCCAAGAAGTCTTTAGTGTCCTCTCATTACTGTTCTAACTTGTACTATCATGTTCATATACATCTTGTCTACCTTACCATGAACTTCCTAAGAGCGAAAGCCGTTATGCGTTTGTGTGTATCTCCTCACCTATCAGAATTATTCCTCTTGGGTGCTAACCTGACGCATGTTCCCACACCAGCCTACAGTTTCCTTTTCTGGGCTGTGGCTTTGAGGTCTGCAAGGCGCTGGAGTGGTGTCCAGGCACATTGTGGGTACTGCTGCACATTCGAGTGCATTGCCTTATTTTTAACATACAGATACTTAATGAGAGAGCTTTGTAAATGTTTGTAAGGTGTTTTGCAAATAGATGTTATTTGAATCTCATCCTTCCCTCCTTTATTTATTGCAGTTAGCACTGTTCTGGGCACATAGTAGGTGCTTAGTAATGTTTCTTAAATTAAGCATTTCTATATTCACTTGCTCCAGCTTACACTTTTATTCCCTCCTATTGTTGTATATGGCTGTCTTTTTATATGTGTATGTCTTGAATTCCCAACTAAACTGCAAGCTCCAGAGGGCTATAGTCTCAGTAAATCTTTACTGATTGCTTTTAAATGACACATGATAGCATTCTAGCTAACAAAGCATGACACAAGGTAAATCATCCAATATGAGTGTTTTTATTTAAAATATGTTTTGGATATGTATTTTAAAATAGACATACCCATCCTAAAAACATGCATTTTAAACAGAGATCACTAAGGTAGGAGGGAGCACCCAGGTCCACATGAAGGGGACAAAGAACGGTGCAGAAGTGAGAGGCTCATGGGCACTGCTGGCTGAGCTGCACACAGAAAGGGGTCTCCAGCTGATGGTCGTTGGCTACATTTCTCTGTGGCATTGGAAGAGCTTTTGTTTCCTCTCAGAGCACATTTCTTTCATTTTTTGTTTGCAGATTCTTGTCAGGTGGTAAGTGTGTGATTTCTTTTTTTTTTTTTTTTTTTTTTGAGACAGGGTCTCACTGTGTCACCCGGGCATATTCATGGCTCACTGCAGGCCCAACCTCTTGAGCTCAAGTGATCCACCCACCTCAGCCTCCTGAGTAGTTGGGACTAGAGGCATGTGCCACCATGCCCAGCTAATTTTTGTATTTTTAGTAGAGACAGGATTTCACCACATTGGGAAGATTGGTCTCAAACTCCTGGACTCAAGCAATCTTCTCACCTCAGCCTCCCAAAGTTTGCTGGGATTACAGGTGTGAGCCACCGCGCCTGGCCGTGTGTGATACTTTTGAAGTAAGGTTGTCATTATCACATATCGAGGACTCTTCAATGAGGGAGAGCCTGATCACTAAACTGCCAGAACACACTTAAAAACTTGATACTTCTGGTACTTAGCCAGTTGGTAAGAAGCTAAAGAGTCTGCCATGCAGTCCAACAGCCATGTTGACTAAACTCACCAGTTCTTTCATTGTTTTGATGTTGAACAGTTGTCTTTAATACACTTTTCTCTACTCCTGAGAATGTTCTAGTTACCATGCTGAAATGTTTAAATACCTACATTTTAAAATTAGAACTAAAATATAATTGGTTTGTTAATTAGGAAGACACTGGAGAGTTGGCTGTGAGAAGTTGTGACTTTGATAAGTTGATCTTTTAAAAGTAAGGGCAGTTGCTCTACATCTGACTTCTTTGTGTTCTCAAATATAAAATACATGGCTTGAGATGAAAGATTCTGCACACTTCCACTTATTCATTCCCAAATCCCACATTTCATATTAAATTCACTCAGGATACTGTGTGATGGATATAAACCATTTTATATGATGCAGGGTACAGTATGCACAGGGGATAATTTATTTTCTAAATTTGCTATCTATTATTAGACTTCTAATTACTCAGCTGAATAGAAGTAGAAAGGTCTCATTCTTGTATTAACTGCTTTTTTTTTTTTTTTTTTTTTTTTTTTTTTGAGACGGTGTCTAGCTCTGTTGCCCATGCTGTAGTGCAGTGGCACAATCTCTGCTCACTGCAACCTCTGCCTCCTGGGTTCAAGTGATTCTCCTGCCTCAGCCTCCCGAACAGCTGGGATTACAGGTGTGCACCACCATGCCCAGATAATTTTTGTATTTTTAGTAAAGATGGTGTTTCACCATACTGGCCAGGCTCAGACTTCTGACCTCAAGAGTCCCACCTTGGCCTCCCAAAGTGCTAGGATTACAGGCACGAGCCACCACGCCCAGCCACTAACTGCCAATTATTTAGCCAGAGATGATAGGCAGAAGAAATTCATTTTAGATAGTTCAGACTTAAGAAGTAAATTTCTCTCCAGGGAGGTCTAAACATACGTGTGTGTTTTATTTTGTAATAGCCCCAGTTTTTCACATTTTAATTATTCAAACAAAACCTGTAATTTAAGAAATATCTAGAAATGATTGGTCTAATTGTCCTCCTTTGTGCCCACATGTCTCTCACGGAGGAAAGTCAGGATTCACTGTGGTTATGAAAGGAATCTGTACAATATGTTTACCTTCTGTAAAATATTTGGATTAATATTGTGAAGCATCTCTAGAGAACATGGCATTCAATTAGTTTTTATTTCTTGTCATCTCTCACTAGAGAAAGAGTGCACACTTTTGTTTCCCTGAGGAGGTAAACTTGCTTGAAAAGTAAAATTTCCATTAAAATCTCTAATTTGGCTTTCTTAAATATAAATCCATTTTTGTTACATTTTAAATAGTCTTAAGGCTAAGTGACTAATTAGTACAGCAATAATGTATCATTCTCTTTTATTCATCTGAAAATTATACTATCTCGAGAGACCTGAGTTTTGTGTGTTTTGATTTTATTTCTTACTAAAAGACTTCTTTGTGGTTGGAGGGAGCTGCAAAGCTGAGGCAAGTGTGGCACTCAGGGGACCCTGTGTGGATTTGCAGAGGAATAAGAGACTCGGTTTCCCATAGGATAAAGAACTTATGTTTAAGCATTGAAAGAGTTCTTTGATGTGCCAGGTGCTATGCGGAGTGCTTTAGTTGCATTATTTCATTTATTCCTCATAATCCTATGGGATAGTTTCCCCATTCCTATGTCTGTGAAAATTGGAAATCTAAATACGGATGAGGAGTGCTTTTTAATGAGAACACCCCATTACCGGGCCATGCCAACTGCAGGTTTGCTCCGAAGTGTGGAGTTGCTGGGTGGGATGCTAAGATGAAATACTGCTTCTTTCTTTTTTTTTTTTTTTTTTTTTTTTTTTTTATGGACTTGAGTTTGAAACAGGCAGTAGAGCCCAGAAACTTCATATAAGGCACCCAATTGTACTGTTTAACACAAACTGATTTCAAACACGTTAAAATTTCAAGAAGTCTTCCTCTAGTGACTGTCTGGGGGGGTGTAACATGTTTCACACCCACCCTATTTGATTTCTTTGTTGTGAATTTCTTAACGCCAGAGCACTGCTTTAATCAAAACCATTTAGAGGCATCCACTTTAAAAAATAAAAGTTGCAGAAGATTGGGGGTGGCGTTTCCCCTCTCATCCCATGATAGCCAACACCTGAGCAATCTTTTCATGCCCACAGCTCCAGATTATAGGTGTGCTCTCCAAAAGCATCCCAGAAAAACAAAAGGGTTACCCACCAGTCAAGGGTTTGAGACATTAACATACTTGAGTTGAAAGTTGTATTATGAAAAATGTCAGAAAATTGCATGAAAGGAAAATTGTTCCACGAGGAAATACTACTGCTGAAACTCCAAGTGGAAGATGATGTTTTTAATATTCCCTTAGTTCCACATTTGTGTAGTTCTGTAGTGAAGCGACTCATTTAAGAGGGGAGGTGGCCCAGGCTAAAAATAAAGTTTCTTTGAAACCAGATGAGAGTCTAGCTATGCCAAAAATGGAATCCGGACTCTGTTCACTCTCGAGAATGTAAATAAGTAGAATTTTGTGTCACATAAAATAGTCTATGCAAAAAAGGATATTCACTGCCTTTTGTGATAGAGACTAAAATAACCATCAGGAGTATAGCTGTTCTGGGGACTCTGAAGCAACAGTGTAAAATGATATAGTAGTCTAACGTATTCTAATTTAGAAAGATGTCCAAGACAAAGACAGTGCAGAACAACAAGTACTGCATGATTTCATTTTATATACAGACGTACGAATATGTACAGTTATTGGTATATTCATGCATAGAAAAAGAATTGGAAGAATAAACATGAAAATATTAGGTAGAGGGAATGGAAGTTGGAGAGTAAAGGAGGATTTTGGTGGATTTACTGTATATGTTTCTCTTTTAAGTTTTCTCACATACACACACACACACACAAAATTAATAAAACTATAGAAACAAGGAAAGTAAAGCTTGAAGGTCTCAGTGAAGCTGTATAGTGGTTAAGAGTATAGACTCTGGAGTAAAAACTGGCAGGATTTGCATCTCAGCTCCTTGACTTACTGGCTGTACATCCTTACACAAGTAATTTAACTTCTGTGCTTCAGTTTGCTCAAATGAAAGTCAGGATTAAGGGTACTTGTGTCATATTGTTGTTATAAGGATTAAATAAGTAATCCATGAGAGAGCATATAGACTAGTGCCTGACACATAGTAAATATTCAGTATGTATTAGTTATTATAAATTACAATACTTAGGCAATGTCTAGCTATATTCAATTCTTTGTGCAAACTTTTTAGTTAAAAATGTTTTTAGTGACAGCATTAGTGATCATAATGTATTTTTCCAAAGTTTTCATTGTCATTGTTAATGATACTGTCATTTTTTTTTTAACCTCACGGGTGTTCAGAACTTCACAAGGAAGAATAACAAAAACAGAGTTATCTGATTTTACATAGAGTGCCATACATTCCACTAGTGGAGTAGTCCTGAATTTGCATCTTTGACCATGTAATCTAATATACATATTATTAGTAAACAACAGAAATGTAAATACATAATGAGGCTTTTCTTTGTTCCTTAGGAAGACTATGACCGTCTGAGGCCTTTATCTTACCCAATGACCGATGTCTTCCTTATATGCTTCTCGGTGGTAAATCCAGCCTCATTTCAAAATGTGAAAGAGGAGTGGGTACCGGAACTTAAGGAATACGCACCAAATGTACCCTTTTTATTAATAGGAACTCAGGTATGTCTAGTTTGATTTTCCTCATTTTAGGATAAGCTCTTTGGCCTGCCTTAGGGGTTGCTCTCAGATAAACAGTCCCAAAGCTGAGCAAATGATATAAGTGTTTAATCTCAACTGCAAGTTAATGAGTTCTATCATATTTTTGGAAAAAATTGTGCCAAAAGAAAGCAATTCTATTCCCGGTTTTTAAAAATTAAGTTCTTTTGTTTAATCTTTTTTTGGTATGTGGGGATTAAGTGGGATTACATGCTTTGATTTTTCTTTAAAGATTTGTAATATTATCAGACATTATTGACCTTTCTTAATTAGATTGATCTCCGAGATGACCCCAAAACTTTAGCAAGACTGAATGATATGAAAGAAAAACCTATATGTGTGGAACAAGGACAGAAACTAGCAAAAGAGGTAATGGAACACTTACAGAATTTAAGCATGAATGTAAAAACGCTAAGATAACAATAGAAGCTAACATTTATTGTGCATTTACTGTATGCCAGACACTGTGCTGAGTGCTTTACATGCATTATCTCATTTAATCCTTGCATGAACTCAGTGAGGTAGGTCTGTTTCCCCAGTTATACAGAAGAGAGAGTGGAGGCTTGGAGATGTCAGATAATTAGCCCGAGATCCTGCAGGTAATAAATGGCAGAGTTGGGTTTCAGTCCAAAGCCTGACTCTTGGGCTGAGGCTCTTAACACCTGTATTACATTGCCAATGATATTTTCCTAAAACGTCACATATGGAAAAAAGCATCGGAAATACATGTCACTACTTTCAACCCTTCATTACTTAAACATTTGCACTGTGCCAAATCAGCTCTGTCTTAAGACTCATTGAGTTAGACAGTGGAGCCACCTAGGATGACAGTTTAAATTTGTGGTTAAAACCAAAAAAATGATGACTAGGTTTGCAAAGAAATGTGTTGAAATCTCTCCAATCTTTTTATGAAAAAAGGATAGAAAATACGAAAGTTCTAAAAGTATATATAAAACAGTGATGCCTGCAGTACCTTGTAGCTTATCTTCCTTTGTGCCCCAAGGCTAGGTTTACTTTTTCCCCTTTTTTCCCATTTGGCCTTAATATCATTGGATTCTATTTTTTACATGTTGTGATTTCAATAGGACTTTTGTGGAAATAGAATCCATATATGGTCTTTTTTGTTTGTTTGTTTGTTTGTTTGTTTCAGACGAAGTCTCGCTCTGTCGCCCAGGCTGGAGTGCGGTGGCTGGATCTCAGCTCACTGCAAGCTCCGCCTCCCGTGTTCACGCCATTCTTCTGCCTCAGCCTCCCAAGTAGCTAGGACTACAGGCACCCGCCACCTCGCCCGGCTAATTTTTTTTTTTTTTTCATTTTTAGTAGAGACGGGATTTCACCGTGTTAGCCAGGATGATCTCCATCTCCTGACCTCATGATCCGCCTGCATCATCCTCCCAAAGTGTTGGGATTACATATGTGAGCCACTGCGCCCAGCCCATATATAGTCTTTTAAAATGTAGTATCAGGAGACAAAAGAAAGCGAGAAAACTTTTGGAGGACAGTTTTTCCTAAAGCAAAAAATAAATGGCTTTACTAACAAATCACTTAAGAAATTCCATGTATTCAATTTTGTAATCTTGGGGAGAGAAGGAATTTCTAAATGTTATAAAGATAAAAGTCATAAATGAAAATATTAATGATTTAACTGCATAAAAACTTAATACCACATCAAATGCCAGAAATAAAATGAAAAGTCATATAAACTGAGATGGATGGCAGAAAAATGGGTTAACATCCTTAGTATACAGGAACCTCTTGCATGAGTTAATCAGAAGACACAGATTCCAATAGAAAAATGGGCTAACAATGAAAAATTCACCCCCCAAAATGCAGATTGCCACTGAAGATAGGAAATATGTTCAAACTTATTAGCAGTCAAATGTAAGCTCAATTTGCACCTACAGAATTGGCAAAAAATGAGAAATTAATTATAATACCCGCTATTCCAAGGGTGTAGTAAAATGGACTCTTTGTTGTACTGGTCGTTGAATCAAAGCAGTCTTGACAATATGCAAAATCCTTAAAATCATGGACACTTTTGATCAAGCAATTCCATATGTAAGAGTTTATCCTAAGCAAATCATTAGGATGTTGGTCAAAGGGTACAGTGTTAGACTGGAAGAATATGTCTTTTTTGAGATACACTGCACAGCATGCTAACTATAGTTAATAATGGTGGTGCTGGGCGCAGTGGCTCACACCTGTAATCCCAGCACTTTGGAAGGCCAAAGTGGGTGGATCATTTGAACCCAGGAATTGGAGACCCGCCTGGACAACATGGTGAAACCCCATCTCCACCAAAAAAAAAAAAAAAAAAAAGCCGGGCTTGGTGGCGCATGTCTGTAGTCCCAGCTACTTGGGGGCTGAGGCAGGAGGATCACTTGAGCCCAGGAGGTGGAGGTTGCAGTGAGCCAAGATAGTGCCATTGCACTCCAGCCTGGATGACAGAGTGAGACCCTTTCTCAAAAAACAAAAACAAAAACAAAAACAAAAAAGGGGGGACTGCATATTTCAAAATTGCTAAAAGAGTAAATTTTAAATGTTCTCACCACACAAAATGGTATTTAAGGTGATAGATGTTAATTATGTTGATTTAATCATTTCACGTGTGTGTGTGTGTATATGTATATATAGAGAAGATATTGCTTTGTACCTCATATATAAAATTATAATTTGCCCATTTATATTTAATAATAAAAGCAAATTATTAGGGATGTGCTTAAAGAGAGCTACAAAGATGCTGAATTGTTTATAATGGCAGAAATTCCAATCTATTAAAACTTCATACTAAAGTATCTGTTAAGATTTCATATTTGTTATGTAGTTAAAGGGAAAAAAGTGGTTGCAAAACAATATGATCTCATTTCTAGACTCATCAGCATTTGGCACAGTTGCGTCCTTCTTGAAACTTTCTTCACTTGGCCTCTCGGTTTTTCTCCCCTCTCATTGGACTCTGCTCCATCTCTTTACCTCCTTAGTCCCTGGTTGGAGGGCCCCAGGGATGAGCACTCAGCTTTGTGGATGTCTTCTTCTATAGCTACCCTCCCTAGGCCTAAATGAGCTTGTCAGTCTTGTGGCTTGCACAGTCTACAACCAAAGATTCCTAGACTTCCATCTCCAGCCTGGACCTCTTTCCTAAATTCTCAATTTGGTCATCCAGCTGTTTACTCACCAAGTCCATCTAGGTGGCTGAGTATCTCAAAATTAACATATCTAAGATATGATTCTTCTTTCTCCAAGGCTGTCCTCCCAGTTACTTAGGTCAAAAGCCCTCAGCTGGGCGTGGTGGCTCACGCCTGTAATCCCAGCACTTCGGGAGCCTGAGGTGGGCAGATCACCTGAGGTTGGGAGTTGGAGACCAGCCTGACCAACATGAAAAAACCCCATCTCTACTAATACAAAAGTAGCTGGGCGTGGTGGCGCATGCCTAGTAATCCCAGCTAGTCGGGAAGCTGAGGCAGGAGAATCGCTTGAACCTAGAAGGTGAAGGTTGTGGTGAGCCGATATCAAACCATTGTGCTCCAGCCTGGGCAACAAGAGTGAAACTGTCTCAAAAAAAAGAAAAAAGGCCTGAGGTTATACTTGCCCTTGCTCTTTCTCTCATACCACACATCTAGCCTTTGGCACAACATACCTTCAGAACATATCCAGAATCCAGACACTTTTTTCTATCTCTTCCCTCTATCACTTGGTTCAGGCCTCCTCCATCTCTGGCCTGCTTTACTGGAATAGCTTCCAACTCACCTTTCTGCTTCTGCCTATGCCCCATGGTCATCTGTTCTCAACACAGCAGCCAGGGTAAGTCTTCAAAATGTAAGCCCAATCATGTCACCGCTGTGCTCAGAATCCTCCGGTCCCCAGCTCAGATTAAACGCCAAAGTCCGCACTGTGGCCTACAAGCCTCTGTTCCCTCTCTGCCTTACTCATTGTTCCCCAGGCCTCCTGGTCTCCTTGCTGTTCCCTCAAAGTTCTGAGAACCTTTGTACTTTTGCTGCTCCCTCTGCCTGGAATGTTCTTCCCTATGGATATGATTCATTCTTTCACTCTTTTCAGGTCTCTGCTCGAATACCACTTTCTCAGTGTGATCCTGTTCCTTGACTACTCCAGGCATGCTCCTGCATCAGGATCTATCTGCCTGGAGCTCTTCCCCTAGGTATCCCTCACTGCTCAAACTTCCCCATTGAGAAGCCTCCCCCGACCCCCACTACCACTGTCCTCAGCACTCCCTGCCTCCCTCACTCTGCTTTTTCCCCACAGCATTTGCCACCATCTGCTCTGTATTCCCTCCCGTGTGCCTCTCACCCAGCAGATGTCAGCACATGTGGACGCCACACAGCAGGGACTCTGCTCTCTCGTTCAGTTCACTGACATATCCCCAGGACCTAAACAGTGCTTGACATATAGTAGATACCCAGTAAATATGTGGTGAATGAAATAATTTTTCATAGAAAGTCTGGAAGGACATACACTAGTATTTTAAAATCCCCTCTCGGGGATTATGAACATGGACGATGAACGTATTTTTTTCGCATAGCTGTATAACTTTCTTTATAATGATGTGTTTATGTCATGCCAATTGTATAAACATGATTTTATATATTTGTGATTTTTTTCTCCCTCCCAGATAGGAGCATGCTGCTATGTGGAATGTTCAGCTTTAACCCAGAAGGGATTGAAGACTGTTTTTGATGAGGCTATCATAGCCATTTTAACTCCAAAGAAACACACTGTAAAAAAAAGAATAGGATCAAGATGTATAAACTGTTGTTTAATTACGTGAGAAACATCTTCAGTGGCCAAGGAAATTGTCCATTTCTCTCAGAAAGCAAATGAAATGCTACAGCTATACCCAGACCTTTTATAGGTAATGAAGCAGTTCAAAACTTGAAAGAAAACAAAACCTGTCCTCAGAATTCTATAAAGGTTATTAAGAATGTTCCTTAAAGGTTTAAGAAGCAGTAAGCAGCATCTGAAGCCACAATCTATTATAAATACTTTATTTCAACTAGAAGGTACAATCTCTCAGGGGTTTCATAGTTTAAAAAGCTACAATCACATCATGTTGTAACTACATAAAAAACAGTGCTGTAAATGGAACTGCTTGGCTTTGACCATACACATTTCTGCACAGCCCTTACAGAATCTGCACAAAGAAGTATCTCCCTTTGCTCCAGTTAATTGTTCTTGTACGTAAGTTGCTTTCTATTCCAGTATATCCAGAGTGGTGAAATAACAAGGCCAGCCACGTAGCCAAAGGTCGCTCCAAGCGTACAGGAGATGGGCCATACCTGAGGAAAGAATGTATGAGATCAAAAAAGAACAAATGTTTTTATTATTACTTGAGCACAAGTGTAACCTAAATATTTCTATATTAAAGCTTAATGTGCTTTCTTAAAGAATGCCAAAAGTGTAATAAGGTCATAATTGCATTTATCATGAACACTAAAAATGTACACATTTTAGTTAATGTGCATTAAACTGTAACAAGGCTCTGGCAATTGTAGATTTAGTTTGATGCTCCCCAAAGTGCATGAGACACATGCTAAAATTACAAATTAAAATTTTGGGTCAGACTTTGCCATAATGCTGGACTCAATTTAGCTCTCTGAACTAGTTGGTAATTTTTTTTTTTTTAATTCCCACTTTGGCTGTGTACATCAAATGAAATTAGAATTGTGTATGTTGACCAAACTACAAGAAACTTTAAGTTGTGTTAAAGAGGGAAGACCTAGAATCCAAGCATGTTACGTGAAAATTGTAACAGAACAGCTGCTTCCACCTTTCAGATATAGATGTTGGAACCACAGCAGAAGTTATAGAATGACAACTTATATACACATCTAGAATGTAAGTTAAACAAAATACCGGCTTCCAGAGACCCATTTTCTCCAGCTATATTACATTAGGCTAGAAGTAATTAATTTTGAATTATTTAATCTACAAGCAGTGCATGTGTTGGTCCCTAAGTGAAAGGCTCTGCTTAAAAAAAAAAAAAAAAAAAAGTTGGAGAAAAATTTTCATGTTCTTCTGTGAAGCTTATTTGGTACACTGGAGCCATTTCTAATCTTTCTCTGGGGGGAACAGGCCACAGAACTGTGTTAGAGGTGAACCATCTTAATTACTAGTTCTATTACCTAATTCAGCTTCCTTGTTTGGTCTGCTGTGGATCTGCCTTATTGCATATGCCATGCATCAGATAATGGTGTTAGACAAAGCTTCATTGTGAACAACCTAATGCATTTTAGAGAAACAATCTCATCTACACATTTTTTTCTAGCCTTTCCTACATTTAAACTTGCTGTTGCCTAAATTATAATTTTTTAAATGTCTTTGGTGGGCTTCCGTTAATTCACATGACTTAAGCTTATAGCTATGTCTACTGCACAGATTGGGTAATGGAACACTAAACTTTTATACTTGAAAATGACAGCCTTAAATGCTCATATCAGTCACAAATCTAGGATGTACTGTCTTGTTGTATGTGAGCTTTGTAGAGATTTTTAAAAATACAAGCATCACCTTTCCATTGAAGAGTGGAGAGAGTCTACTGGATGACTGGCCAGGAACTTTCTCTCTGCATCAGACATTTGGATGTCTTCTTTCTTCCAAGAAATGGTGGTTCACATTAAGTATCATGGCCTTATGTATGCTCAAATGGAATCTTATGTAACTTTCTTATTTAATTTTGGTCTGCTATTTTTAGATAAAATTGAAAGGAATTGTATAAATCAATTAACATATTAGCTAAGTTGTCCAAAACATGGTATAAAGGAATTACAACAGTAAACTATTATACATTTCAAACTTGCCTTTGGGGATTTATGAGGATTTTTTTGGGGGGGCTCCAATTCATATCTCTGAAACCCTTCACACTTGGTTTACTAGCCATTCAAAGTTAAAAGTCTAGAATTTGTCCTGCCCTAACAGAAACAGATTAGGAATTTGTCGACACAAACTGGTGTCACCTGTTTCGTGACTGGGCTTTGGTTTCCTCATTATAAATATGGGAGGTAGAACAGAGGTCTCCAACGTCTCTCCCATTTATCACAATAATTTTCTTATTCACAGTAATCATTGTTGGACGTTACTTTTTCAGTTTCACATTCTTGAGATGGTAAAAATCATGTATATAGATTATCAGAACTCTAAGCAAAGATGACTGTCGCATCTGAAGCTGAGGTGCCTTAGGTACTCTACTGACCTTGATGGGTTTGGAGTTCCCTATTGCTTATCAAGAGCTTTTTAATTGCTTTGGTTCCTTAGTCTTTTTGCAAAAATCCTTCCTGTCACTTCAACTAAAAACCAAAGATTTGTTTTCTATTAATAAGCAGACTAGAGAAAAACTGCCTTATTTTCAGATGCATGTCTTCATTAAAAGCTCAGGTTTCAATAGAAAATCAGATTAATCACTGAAATGACTATTTTAAACTAGTGAAATATCTGGGAAATAAACTGCTTCAAAAATATTTTATTGACATGAATTTTGCTAGTGAATACAAATACACTGCCTCAAACAAGGCCATGTATGAATGCACTTACAAGAAATTTGAGTTAATCAGTGTTTGCATATAGAGAATTAGTTCTAAAGTTCTTAAAAATAAATTTAGGGGCTCCCTGAAATCTTATTTAATACTTTGCTAACTTACACTCTTGTTTTATCTCCACAGGTACATTTTAGGTTAGCTCATGGTGAATTCTATTTACAATAAGTAGAGCTTGGATTAATGGGTTTTGTTATGAATTATCTTAGTTACTTTAGACAGTGTTTCCATTTGATTTTTAACTATTTAAAATACCAAATTAAATACCAGTTTGTTGGTTGTTACTTTTAAATGATTGTTGCTTTAACAGTGTCCCTTCTTAACACATGGGGTTACAAATAAAATACTATGCATAGTTTACTATCTACGTAAAGCACTGAACTTTTTACCTTAGTAGTTTTCATTTACTACCCTATATAAACATTTGGGATAATATTCTTTCCTCTGTTTACACTGAGAGTCTACTAGTCATTGGCAAAGTATGAGTCCCTATACTCTGTTAAAACAGCTCCCTGTTAACGTATGGGGAGAATAGTAATCCCTCATGAATCCCAGCTAGATTCCAATTTGGGTTACTAAATTGTACTTTAATCATTTTGTAATTTCAGTATGGCTCTTTGTTCTCAAACGCACACATACCACCACACACATTCTTTAAACAGCTGTCACACTTCACCGCCAACAGAATGCCAAAAATGAAATGTTAAAAAATTTTGTCTAATGAAGGGTTACAGCTTGGTACGCTTGGTTATTCATGTTATGTAAATCAAGAAATGCATGCCATCAGCAAACTAAAATGTGGACTGGCTTTGAGGACTGGTAATTTCTTAATTTTAACAATGTCATTTTTTAAAAGAGAATTTCTGGGGGCCGGGTGTGGTGGCTCATGCCTGTAATCCCAGCACTTTGGGAGGCCGAGGCAGGTGGATCACGAGGTCAGATCAAGACCATCCTGGCTAACACAGTGAAACCCCATCTCTACTAAAAGTACAAAAAATTAGTCGGGTGTAGTGGCGGGCGCCTGTCGTCCCAGCTACTTGGGAGGCTGAGGCAGAAGAATGGCCTGAACCCAGGAGGCGGAGCTTGCAGTGAACAGAGATCATGCCACTGCACTCCAGCCTGGGCGACAGAGAGAGACTCCGACTCAAGAATTTCTTTAAGGGCAGTTTTCATGATTTTTGAAAATCAAAACAGATTATCAAAATAGGAAACAGCAAAAGGAGGGAGGCTGCCCACTAAGAACTATTCCTCAAGCAATTTCCTACTGATTTTCTTATAATTATTCTAAAAATTTTAAAACTACACTATGGCAACAGAATTCATTTGTAAATCCTAGCTTAATCGTGTATTTTCATATTTAGATCCTAAGGTTTTCCTTTAAAACTATTTCCTTATCTCACGTATACATAGGTTTCTATTCAACATTCTTCATGCCACAAATAGGATTTTTTTAAAAAGTAGTATCTATTAAACACATAATTCAGCTGCAGTGCTATAAAGATTTCTCTAAATTATGGTAATCTGAGATGGCTTTATATTATTTTGTTTCAAGAAAATAGAAAACTTAGAACAAAGGCATTCATGTAAAGGAAGTCATTCACAAGTGTTTGCCACCAAAATGACAAGGGCCCAAGCACTGGAGGCCAGCCTGGGCAATATAGTGAGAGTTTTTTATAAATTTAAATTTTTTTTAGCCAGTAAATAGAAGAAACAACCTATGGTGTATAATCAAATATATTACAACTCAAGTGGGTAAAATTATTAAAATTACCACGAAGAAGAAAAATCTATTTAAAAAATAAGTGGTACGTCAGATGTTAAGTGACCTTGGCCAGCTCATTTTAACATCTGAGCCTCCGTTTCCCAATCTGCAAAACAGGGACAGAAGTACCTACTATACTTAAAATGCAAGGCTGAAGTAATCTCTTAAAATTTGTCATGAAAGCTATAAAGTACCATGTATCAGTGTTCTGTATATTACATGTTTTAACTTGAAAAAATTAAACTTACACGAACAGTATTTCTTCGGTCACTGTCACTACTATGTAATAAGTAGAATCGGCAGTTTAGAACAAATAGTTCATGAGTAATATGTTATACTGTGTGGTAGGAAGTGGTAGGAACTATTCCCTTACCCTTATAAAGCAATCATCATTTTTTTTTTTTTTTTTTTTTTTTTTGAGGCTGGAGTGCAGTGGCACAATCTCGGCTCACTGCAAGCTCCACCTCCCGGATTCATGCCATTCTCCTGCCTCAGCCTCCCGAGTAGCTGGGACTGCAGGTGCCTGTCACCAAATTAGCCTGGCTAATTTTTTTATATTTTTAGTAGAGACAGGGTTTCAATGTGTTAGCTAGGATGGTCTCAATCTCCTGACCTCGTGATCCACCTGCCTCGGACTCCCAAAGTGCTGGGATTACAGGCGTGAGCCACCGTGCCCAGCCGTAAAGCAATCATCTTTAATACATGCTGCACTTCATGTGAAATGTCTGTTACAAGAGCAAATTCAGGAACTATACAACATACTGGCATTACGTTAACCATCTGTAGCCTCACCTCAGGAGGAGGAATGATTCCCTGCTGCTAGCTGTCATTTTTCATAAATTTTAAGAAACAAAATAAGTACAGACAGTGGTTTTAAACTCATCATTGGTAGGCATTTGTAATTTTTAAAGGCTCATATGAATGACTCCATTCATTCAAAACTATTTATTGAGCTCCTACCTTAACCCAGCTCCTACCTTTAATTTTGGATACATTTTAGTATAAATTCTTAAAAATGTGTTCCAATATAATAAATATTACTTATAATTTTGGGGGAGATTTACACTGTCACAGATAACATGGAGAAACTGACCTATCTGCAAATCAGAACACCTACAGACATTTAGAACAACTCACGACTGTTAGGATTACTGTCTCTCTCTCCAGATAAAAAAGAAGATAAAATCCAGTTCTCAATCTTTCATGAGCTACTTTTCAATGTTTTGTTGATTGTGCTTATCACAAATTTGCATTTGCATGACTGAGAGAGTTCATCTTTCGAAGCCTGCTGACCTACTGCTTATAAATAATCATTTATATTCTCCTCCAAAATTGGTCTTGAACAGTATGTTGTTCCAGATATTCCTAAAGTAAATGTCATTGATACAGGAATACATGCACAAATGAATCTACTCATCATGATACATTTCTCTAGTTAAAAACCTGCACTCATCCATGTATACATTCTTCTGTGACTAAGAAGACTACTTCAGGAAGAGTTATTTGCGAAGGGGTGTGTAGTTCCTGGTCTGGAATTCTTGTTAAAATGACACTAAAAGGTCCTGGTCACAACTCATGCAAACGAGTTAACTTGGCCAGCATTATTCTCTCACATGAAAGTCCTGTTAGCACAGCATTATCAACATGATTACCCTACAATGAACATGCCTTTTAAGTCCAAAATCATTTCATGCCAGTTAAGTGTTAACACATTTTTCTCATGCTTGAAACATAAACCATATTCATATAAATGAGTATTTTATTTTGGTCAAAAACACAGTATCATCCCTTTGGTAATGGAAATACCAATTAATGTAAAAACCTGCAGCTCTTCAAGCAATCAAATCCATAATCTTAGTTTTAATCTACCTCCAGCATTTTGCAGTAATTCATGTAGTTATAATCCTATGATTTCTAGTTTCAACTTATGAAAGAATTATCTGTGGCATCTGTGAGTTTAGGAAATGAATATACATGTTTCACAAATATTAAATTTCTAACCTGGTAAAACTGAAAAAAAAAAAACAAAACCCAAAATTGTTAAATACAACAATTCCTCATTTATCTGGTATCTGATGGGAATAAGTAAAAATATTTTAAAACAACTTTAAATTGTTTCAAAGACAATCTCAGGTGTCTAAAATTCAAAATCTCCAAATTCAGTTATTTAAAATGCTTTATATCAATTTTCCTTTTTACCTTCATAAGAAATAAGCGTCCTAGAAGAGACTTGATTATTTGGTTCAAATCTTTTTAAAGATTGTAGCACTGAAGTCCATAGTTTAAAGGCATGTGTGGATTTGTTAGGGACAAAAGCATTGCATATTAGCTTTAAATATTCTCCTACAAATAAATTATGGCCTAAAATACAGACACCACCACAATGGTCAAGGCATTTAATTAAAACAATGTGGGGAAAGAAATGAAACATAAGTACTTTAGCTATTCCAATGAGACCTAAGCTATGGCCATTTTTTAAAAAGAAAAGCTATGTTTTAGTCTCCAGCAAAGAAAAGAACATGGTGCCGTGGGGCTCTCATGTGAATCTGAAGTCTTCGTCTTCCCACCTGAGTAATGCTAAGCAAGATATGTATTCCTCCCCTCTCACACTTTGACTTCTAGTGTATAAAATGGGAGTGAAGCCTACCTTGCACTATGGCTGTGAGGATTAAGTTACTCGTATGACAGGGCCAAGCCCCATGCAGGGTACATGGAGAGATCTACAAATGCTACATTTTCTTTCTACTGTCATCTGAAATGTCAGACAGGATTGAAAATTATGTGAAATCCAAATACCCTAAATTGGTATAACGAAATACCAGAGAAACAGATAAATTAACAGTCCACTCCCACCAACTGAAAGACTGCTGGGCAGAAAGAAATAAAACAAACTGAGACAATTAGCATATTCTCTAATATATGAGAACTCAAATAAATAATGGAATTTGCACTATTGAAGGCTAAAAATATAGTCATTAAACTATTTCTTTATAGTCACTAAACTATTTCTTTTCTAATGTTACAGGCTCACAAATGCCTATAACATTAATTAAGTAATAACCACATGTCAGGTGCTGAGCTAGATATTTTAGAGGGATTTTATTATTTCATCCTCACTAGCAAGTGACAGAGCCAGGATTTCAACCCAGTAATCTGATGCCAGAACTCCTAATCATCATGTTACCTGCCTACCCATTAATAACACATGTGAGTTTAAAAACCTCATGGTCAATTTCCTGTGCTCAGAATAACTAACAATATTTGTTAACCTTCCACTAATTTTTTTAAAACATGAAATACTAGCCATGTTTTGATAAGACATTTTCCAGATAAAAACCTCATAGCTACATATTCTATGAAATATTTACAGCATATTAAATCTAAATCGCAGTCCAAATCTAAATTATTAAATAATTAAATTCCAGTCCTGGGTGTATTTAAGTGTCTATTGTACTTACACAGAACGTATGCCTTGCATACAGTAATAACAACGAATACTTACTGATTAGCTATTTAGTTACAGCAGATAAAGAATCAAATTATAAAATACAAAGGTTTTCTGTAGTCCAAATATTTATTTTGTCAGCAACTATAAGCTTTCTCCAGAAATTGAAAAAGGCTATCTGGATTATGGGAAATTCAAATATTTGTTTTCTTGCTGAGATTTTAAGGCAAATAATTAAGGGAGAGGCAAGAAGGTACTTTCAAATATTAAAACAACAACAAAGATGACCAACAGTAGAATGGGTAGCTACCCTACCATATTCTCTTTAACCACGTCCCCTTGCTGCCTTCTACAAAAGAAAGGCTTCCTCCAACTATAAAGATGCCTAATTTTTCATCACTTGCCATTATTTAAAATCATGTAAGATTTATATTAAGTTACAAAACTTTTTCATTGAGATCACATATTTTCAGTGGGCCTTTCCAATCATTTAATTAAGAAATTATTTTAAACATAAAAATATGCTTGAAACAGCTCATTACAGAATCTACATTACTGTAATCTTATGGTTGGCCTCACGAATGTTATACAATGATTTGAGTTCAAAGTAAAGAAAACTGAAGTAAAACATGTAGTAGATTTTGTGGGGTTTTGTGTGTGTGTGCATGTGTGCGTTTTTAAAGGTATAATTGCTTAACCAGACATTCCTGTTTCACTGACTGGAATATAAATAAAACCAGAACACAATCCAGAAAAGCTTGCTTTACCACAAACAGATCAAATCTGTACTGGGCTACAAGGAACACAGAACAAGAATCTCTTCTTAATACATGTTCTATTTTAGATAATAAAGTGTATTACTGTATTGTCTTCTCATGAAATTTTGCTCTAACAACATCTCCACTTTTAGGAAATGCCATATTCCCTTATCTGATTTATTGCTTCTCTGGGAGATTCTGTTCTGTGGAGTTAGAATTATTAAAAAATAACAATAACAAAAAACAAGCAACCTTGTTTGCTGGAAATAAAAAGTGAAAAAAAAAAAGAAACCTCATTTCTTTAGTTTATTAGTAAATAACTGCAAAAAGGGCAAGGGGCAGATGAGTGCTATGCGAATAAAAGATTTTTAATTATACATCAATTCTATCATTCCCTCAACAGGGCAAGGGGCAGATGAGTGCTATGCGAATAAAAGATTTTTAATTATACATCAATTCTATCATTCCCTCAACAATACACTTCACAATTTAAAAGGTTTACAGTGAATGTGTGGGTCATTAACTTGGAATGTTCTAAAAACCATCCAATAGTAAAGATAATTACACAGCCAGTAATATTCCAGCTGAATGAAACCTTAATGGAAACCAACACTTGTTATGTATTTAAATTAGTTTTAAAATTAAATTAGATTTCCAGCTAGCTAGAAAATCTTTTTAAAAAGTCAGTAATTCAAATGGAAACTTTATATTAATTTAAAAAGTAATACCATCAATTTGGATCTAGTTCATCCTTATTGTTAACAAGCACTGAGGCAGAAAAATGAGTCATCAGCTAAAAGTCTGAACAATCCCAAAATGGGTGATTGAACTGTAAATAACTAAGATATATATTTTCTAAGCAAACCTAAACACATATTTTATAAAGCATACATATTCCCCTTAGTTCAGTTTCTACTTCTGCACTGTCTTGTAAACAGAAAAGACTTAAATTACATGTAACATATCAAACCTTTACACTCTAAAGTATTGCATCTATATACAAAATGATACATTTATTATATATTATCTTACCAACTCATTAAAGCTGATGTCCCATAGTGCTTTATCAATATTTTCTATTTAGATTTAATTGCATTACTTGAAAGTAAGGAATCTACCCACTTTCAAACAATTTTCTGTGTATACTTTTCAATGATTTTGATTGTCCTCCAATTTAGAAATCACTGACACTCTGTTGAATGATATTAAGTATGGATGACTTCTACAAGATGTCAACAACTTAAGAAACCTTTACTAGCACCAAAAACTTGGGATGAGTATCTGTGACGATACACACCCCAAACCTCCAAGGATTTCTCTAATACAGTGATGAAGAGTTAAAACAGGCAAGGGCAAACCTACCAGACTTACTAAACATGAAAGAACAATTTGACTTTCAGGGAGACACAACATCGAACTGAAAGCACAAAGAATGGAGTTAAGGTAGGCAGTTATGTGCAAGGCACACAATCTGGATCCCACATTTGGCAAATGAGGTATGTATCAAAGATTTACTTCATCAATTCATTACCTACGACTTTACGCTACAGAGAAAATTGGACAAATATTCAAAGATGTATGTTTAATATGATAACCATATTTGATAAAATATTAATAATAATGAAATAGGAAATAACCTAAATGTTCTTTAATTAAAAACTGATACAGTATTTTACACAAATAATCGAATATTACATATATGTAAGTTTTCATTGACATAGAATGAGCTCCATAATATACTGCTGAGAGGAAAAAGCATATTAAAAATAACATGAATATTATAGTTACAGGCATGGAGAGAGACAGCTGCAAAAATTATCACCAAAAGCAAATGGAGGTTTCCTCTGGGTGGTTGGGGAGGAAAGTAATTTTTACTTTCTTCCTTAGAATTACTAATATTGCTTAAATTTTCTAAATAAATATACATTATCTTTGTAATCAGAAAAAAATTCTCTTCATGTTGGAAAAAGAAAGCACATTTATTTTTTAACACCATAATTCTTTTTGGGAGTAATTACTCTATGGAAATAATTAGAAAAATTCATGAAGCTATAGATTCAAAGATTTTATCACAGCAGTGTTTATTATCATAAAATACTGGCAATAATCTAAATGATCAATAGTGTGTTTGTTAAATAAGTTATAAAGTAACTATATAATGGCATACTACAAAGTCATTAATATTAAGATAAGGATACAGTCATCACTGTAAGTTCAGTGACCTTGGGAATGTTACATACCCTCTAGGTGTCAGTTTCCTCATCTGTAAAATGGGTATAAAAAGAGCCCTTACCTTACAGTGCTTTACCTAGCATATCAGCTTTATCTTATTGTGATACAAGATGAAAAATTTGATGTTTGTGAGCTGTCTTGATAACATAGGCCGCTGCTGCAAAAATTACCTTGCTATCTGCTTCTAAAAATTTCAAGATGAACATTCAATTTGGCCATCAATCAAGTTCAGAAAATGTGAATATAAGACCACAAGGGCAATAAATACCAAAGTTGAAAATAGGACATTTCTGCAACTATTAACCTAATTTTTAAAAATTCCTATACTGGCTGGGCTCAGTGGCACACACCTGTAGTCCCAGCCACTTGGGAGGCTGAGGCAGGAGGCTCGTTTAGGCCCAAGCACTGGAGGCCAGCCTGGGCAAGAGAGTGAGAACCTGTTTATTTTTAAAAACAATAAACTGCCTATATACAATCACAAAATAAGCTTGTTTATTCATCTATACATGTGCAAAAAATAGTGCTAGAAAATAAAACCAGGGCTACCTAGACGCCTTTGGCACTGGGACAGTCCCTATTAAGAAGTTGCCCAGATTACCATGACTGATAGAATTGGTATCCCTACTTAATTGAACAACAGAACAATTTACGTATACATACTAGTTTGCTTCATCAGTTTTACTATCATTGTACAAACATTTACTTTGTTGCTTTAAGTAACTGAAACCAACCTGCCATGGTCTTTCCCAATCCAGCGGAATAGGCAGTGCTCCAAGCCATGCTCCTACAAAACTAGAAATTGTAGTCATCTGGAGACTATTCTCCCATATGGATGAAACTCTGTGAAGCACAAATTGGTACATCATTGATGGTACATACATTAGCTGCTAAAGAATCCAACAAGCACTAGCACACATTATCAGTATACATATATTTTCTGTAATTTAAAATGAAAATCTCAAACTGACATATAAATATTTACCATGAACTATTAATAGTTAATTGGTAAGAAGATATAAATGTTTTCCATCGTAAAGGTAATATACAGATGTAGTAGGAGTCAAACCATGCTAAAGAGCATTTGTAGAAACAGCTAAGTCCTCCACCCCTATCAACTCCTGGTTCCTTTCCCCACAGGCAACTGTTATTACCAAATTATTACATATTCTTCCAGAAATATTTTATACATGCACAAATACACACATACTTTTGTTTTGAAGGATATATGTATATTTGCATAATTACACATGTACGTATGTATATTTCTTCAAAACAAAACTCAGATGCATCATGTTATAAACCAAATTTTGCTTGTTTTTCCTTGGTAACAGTTATAATAGTATTCCATTGTATGGATGGTGCATCATTTATTCAACCAGTCTCTTTTTTTTTTGAGATGGAATCTCTGTTGCCCAGGCTGGAGTGTAATGGAGTGATCTCAGCTCACTGCAACCTCCGCCTCCTGGGTTCAAGCAATTCTCCTGCCTCAGACTCCTGAGTAGCTGGGATTACAGGTGCGCACCACCACGCCCGGCTAATTTTTGTATTTTTGGTAGAGATGGGGATTCATTATGTTGGCCAGGCTGGTCTCGAACTCCTAACTTCGTGATCCGCCCACCTCAGCCTCCCAAAGTGCTGGGATTACAGGCACGAGCCACTGGACCCGGCCTCAGCTAGTCTTTCTTACATCACATTTCATTTATACAAACCAATTCAATTTACTTGGCAAGAAACAGGCAGAGAACAAGAACAAAATATTTCAAAAGATCTGGTGATTTTGCCTACCATTCCTATATACTAAGTGCACATTGGAGAGTGTAAAGGTGGAAAGACTTAATTCTGCCATTCTCTTAGTAGGTGTTAGTTTCAGCCTGGCCCTCATAGTGTGAACTATGTATACATAGTGTGAACTGTAACCAGACAGTTCTGGTTACAGTCAGGTAAAAGCCCACTGCAATGCAATAAGTAGGGTCCAAATATTCAGTTGTTTAAATTGCAAGGTGAAGCTACTGTGAAGTTAATGAAAAGTAGCCTCTTCTAGATAGTATGGGGGAAAACATTTGTTTTGTTAGATGATTTATTTAATTAGAAACAGGCCAATTATTACATGCAAAATGTACACTGAATTTTAAAAGTCGCAAATGATAACAAGTCAGTTCACAAATCAATCCCTCTATCATCCATCCATCTCATACTCCCCAACTACATAAGATAAGAACCCTAGCTTGTTTCCATTGAAGCAGGGCTAAGAACAGGCTGGAGCCAATCACATATATCCAGATTTGTACTATTTTTAGGGCTTTATTGTTCTTTTTTATTTCATATAACACCTGTAAGTCAGCTTTTTCAACTAGCATTCAATAGAACAGAGATCTGTTCCAATGTTGGAAGGAAAAACTGGCCAAGTTCAATGTAAAGAGAACTGTACCGTTCAAGCAATTTAAAGGATTTTCAAAGGCAATTTTTGACTACATGTGGCTGACAATGTTGACTAAGCTCCAACTTAACACACACCTCCTCTATACTGTAATACATAAAGTGGAGACACAAGGTGTGGTAGAGGTTAAGAGCAGAGATTACTTTCTGTTGGGAAGAATTCACTTTTTCTATTTTATGGAACAGGAGGAAGTTAAGCTGGATTGGAAAGAATAGGTAGCGTTAGGTCTTAAACTAGAAGACAGGAGAAAGAGCTGCACTGCAGACAAAAGAACATAAATCAGATTGCTAGAGGCCAAGAGAAGTACGAGAAATAAGGCTGGAAAAGTAGGGCAGAGTTAGGATTTTTTGTTTGTTTTTTTTGTTGTTGTTTTTTTGAGACGGAGTTTCGCTCTTGTTGCCCTGGCTGGAGTGCAATGGAGCGATCTCGGCTCACCGCAACCTCCACCTCCCGGGTTCAAGCCATTCTCCTGCCTCAGACTCCTGAGTAGCTGGGATTACAGGTGTGCATCACCACGCCTGGCTAATTTTTGTAGTTTTAGTAGAGACGGGGTTTCATCCATGTTGTAGCATGTATCAATATTTCAGTCCTTTTTATGGCTCAATCATATTCCTTTCTATTGATATTCCACATTTTATCTATTCAACAGCTGATGGATATTTGGGTTGCTTCTGCTTTTTGGTTATTATGAATAATGTTGCTATGAACATTTATGCACAAGTTTCTGTGTGAGCATATGTTTTCATCTCTCTTGGGATTACACTTAGGAGTGGAATTGTTGGGTCATATGGAAACTCTACGTTTAATCACTTGAGGAACTACCAGACTCTTCCAAAGTGGCTGAACCATTTTATATTCCTACCAGCAGTGTTTGAGGATTCCAGTTTTTGCACACCCTCCATCATGACACTTGTCATTATCTTTTATTACAGTCATCGTAATTGGTGTGAAATTGTATCATGGTGATAGATTTAGGGTTAGGATTTTAGAAAATTCTTAAATGTCAAACTAAGGAACCATGAAGGTTTTTAATCAAGACAACTATATGATCAGAGATAATTCAGTAAGATTTATGTGGCTGGGCGCAGTGGTTCACGCCTGTAATCCCAGCACTTTGGGAGGCCAACGCAGGCAGATCACAAGGTCAGGAGTTCGAGACCAGCCTGGCCAACATGGTGAAACCCCATCTCTACTAAAAATGCAAAAAATTAGCTAGGCACGGTGGCAAGCGCCTGTAATCCCAGCTACTCAGGAGGCTGAGACCGGAGAATCGCTTGAACCTGGGAGGCGAAGGTTGCCGTGAGCCAAGACCACGCCATTATACTCCAGCCTGGCGACAGAGTGAGACTCTGTCTCAAAAAAAAAAAAAAAAAAAAATTTGTGTATGTATCTTTCTAACCTCTAAGCTCTAAGTTCCTTGGGCTAAGAGGCAAGATCCATGCCTTCACATTTTTCATGGTTCCAGCACACTTGTGGCCATCTTATGTTCATTAAAATAAAAAGTATGATCATCCGAGAGGTTGCCCTCTATTTTGCTGTAGCCAAGTGTTTATGATCCTACATATAATAAATGTAGAAAAAAGGGAACCAAGACCTATTGTTAAAAATAGAAAAACTCTGTGCCCTGTCTTTTTAAAGTAAAAATTATTATTTATCAAAATAATATATGTGACATCTTTAAAGTAAAGGAGTACAATTAAACTAATATTAAAATAGTAGTCTCCTCTTCCATCCCTCCCCACTCCTGATGTCTGCTCCAAGGCAGATTTTTTTTTTTTTTTTTTTTTGACGGAGTTTCACTCTTGTTGCCCAGGCTGGAGTGCAATGGCACAATATCAGCCTACTGCAATCTCTGCCTCCCGGGTTCAAGCGATTCTCCTGCCTCAGCCTCCCAAGTAGCTGGGATCACAGGCATGCGCAACCACGCCCGGCTAATTTTGTATTTTTAGTAGAGACAGGGTTTCTCCATGTTGAGGCTGGTCTCGAACTCCTGACCTCAGGTGATCCGCCTGCCTCAGCCTCCCAAAGTGCTGGGATTACAGGCGTGAGCCACCGCGCCCAGCCTCGAGGCAGATTTTTTCAACCTTTTTGCTTTCTTCTATTTACCGTAAATGAAAAACAACAACAACAAAACCCCACATACATTAAGTATAGATTTTTCAAGATTAACTTACTTTCTGCCTTCCTCTATGGGAGAAGAGGATTCAGCACCTTTTACCTACAAGCTGCCTACCTCCACATACACATTTCTCCCTGACTCATGTCCCTTCTACAATGGTAACATCTCCTCCTTTCAACCGAATCAATAGGAATGTTCTACACTATGATGATTATAAAACTGCTAATCACAGTGAACCACACAGTAAACCACAATCATACATTTCTTTTCTCACAGTAAATATAATCTTTAATTGTCCATGGATGTTAAGAACTGCCTCTTTTTCACCCCTCAGTTTGCTTATGTACCTGTTATTAAATAATCTTCAAATATTCCAAAGAAGCTAAGTAGCACCTCCAAATGCTTGATCTCTTCTCCCTGCTCCTTCCATCTTTTTGGAGCCACCTAGGACTGCTGCACAACTGCTGTGTTTGCGAATTTCCCTTTGCCTCTCTTAGTTCTTTTGGATCTGCTCTTTCCTAAATTCCAAGACTTCCTCCATCTATGTTCCTTTTTCTTTTCTTTTCTTTTTAAGCACCTCCTTCAATAGATTCCTGAGAAAGGAATTTTCTTTTTCAGCACCTCCTTCCATAGATTCCTGAGAAAGGGTACATGGAAAATAGATTCTTAGAGATGTTTGAAGTCTGAAAATGAATTTACTGTAATTTTTGGGAATCATTCTGCCTCGGGATTTGTGGGGGGAGGGTTGTTATTTTTTGGTTTGTTTTTTGAGATGGAGTCTCACTCTGTTGTCCAGGCTGGAGTGCAGTGGTGCAATCTTGGCTTACTGCAACGTCCGCCTCCTGGGCTCAAGTGATTCTCCTGCCTCAGCCTGCGGAGTAGCTGGGATTACAGGCGCCCACCACCATGCCCAGCTAATTTTTGTATTTGTAGTAGAGACAGGGTTTCACCTTGTTGGCCAGGCTGGTCTCGAACTCCTGACCTCAAGTGATCCGCCCACCTTGGCCTCCCAAAGTGCTGAAATTATAGGCGTGAGCCACAGCGCCTGGCCCTGCCTCAGAATTTGGAAGGCATTGCTCCACTGTTTTCTGATTCCCACTTGAGAAGTTCAGAGCCATTCTGGTTTCTCATCCTCTGTAGGTATCATGTTTCTCTCATTCTCCAGAAACTTTTATAATAATCAATCTTTTTATTCCTGGTTATCAAAAATTTCCCGAAAATGTGTTTTAAAGTGTTTTTTCATCCACTGTGCTGAAAATATATGGGCCTTCTTAATCTAAAAGC